AAGACAGCAAAAGTAAAATGCAGATTTCGCGGGGAGGAGTTACTCGGCCCCCAAGCCAGTTTGAGAGTTACTCCTTGACCGCCAGCTCCAAATCATACTCGGGGAGAAGTTATTCGGCCCCCAAGCCAGATTGAGAATAACTCCTATAGCGTGATTCGAACCCGCGACCTCGATGACCTCTCTTGCACTCGTTGCGCGCCCACGATTGCCACTCGACCATCTCGAAACTACATATTTAATATGTATAAATTGTCGGTGTAGAGAGTTTTGAAAAACCGGGTTGGGGGGGAGGGTGAGGAACTTTGTCTGAATGAGAGCGCAATCGAGCGTTTCCGGTCAAGAATAAAGGAAATGGATGAAACAAAGAACTGATAAAAGCGATATAAACGAGGAATACAATATTAGCATATTTCGTAATGGCGGACTGCCTCGTTTACCGGAACTCGTAAAACACGACGATTCGGACACTATTCAAAGAAGTTATTAAGTGTGTGCATTGGGATAATGTGTTACACGCCAGGTATCACGAATTCTTACCTCTCTGGAAGTATTTATTTTATTTAAATGTCTTTGACTTTTACTTATTACACAATTGCAATGGTATCAGCATTGCAATTATCGACCTATAACTGTTCCCAACTCAGTTGACAAGGTGTGCGAGTCATTGCTCTGCAAGAAAGTTATGGCAACCATGGATTCACACATGTATCACAAAATGGCCGCGTACGGAAAACAACATTGTTGCGAGACAACTTTAATAAGACTTGAAACGAATATAAGAGATAAGGCTTATTGAGGATTAGAAAACAACTGCTGGTAGAAAGGAAAGTTTGACTGAATTATCCACTCATATGAGCAAAACGTTCGACTCGCTGTATCCTGTTCTAATGATTCAGAACCTTAAAGCATACGGCTCTTCTGTCGCGTCCCTAAATCTTTCTTTGAGCTTAGAAGAAACCAAGTAAACTTACATGATCTGCAAAGCGCGTGAAAGTAATAAACCAGGGGGATCCCCACAGGGTAAAGAACAAGGCAGCGGTTGCTCACGGGGTAAGGAACAAACCAGGGGATGCCTACAGGGTTCTTCCTTTGCACCTTTAGTATGGAATCTCTTCCAAAACCATCTCCCATTATATGTTGAATCAGAGAACTTTTTTATTTACGGAGACGACCATCGAATATACATGACCGGGGACTCGATTAAAAAGATGTTCAAGAACTAATGAGTGAAACAGAAATGGTCACGCAGTGGTGTAAAGTAACTCTGTGTTTAACCCTTTAACTCCTATAAGTGACCAAGACAGAATTTCTTCTTACAAAATTAATACAATATCGAGCAAACAAGTGATGAGAATAAACAAAAACATCAATTAGGCGATTATTACTTGATCCAATATCAAATCTCCGGACTAACATTATAAGAATTGTAGGGTATTCAGTAAGGAGAATTACTAATGAGATCTTGGAAGTGAAAGGGTTAAGACCAATCACCAAATATCAGATTATTGCCATCGATCCAAAGTTCTCTAAAGAGGAACCAGTTGACCGATTAGAGATTGATTGAGGAACTTTGTCTGACTGAGAGTGCAATCGAGCGTTTCCGGTTAAGAATAAAGGAAATGGATCATACAAAGAACTGATAAAGGCGATATAAACGAGAAACACAAAATTAGCATATCTCGAATGGCGAACGGCTTCGTTTGTTGAGGCTTGTTAAACACGACGATTCGGAGACCTTTAAAAGAAGTTATCAAGTGTGTGCATTACGTATCATACATTTAAACCTCTTTGGATGCATTTATCATATATGCATTTCTTTCACTTTATGTTCACTTTTCATTTGATGCGGCATTTATAGAAGTCCATTTGTTAGATTAATCAGCAAAGACTTAAAATGTTTGCGGTGCTGATGCACAAATGGAACATCTCTCATTTCCTCCTTGCCTATATAACATACCATCCAAAATACAATCATTTTGGCACAAAAATGGTTCCCATACCAAGAGGTAGAGATATACATTGTAACACTGTGAAGTTAAAAGGCTTTTTCTGTTTTTTGTCGTCTGACAATAACTGTCAAAATTACCTCATGTTCGTTATCTATTTTTCTCAACAATTGAACAGGTAAAGTAACAGCACTCTTTAAGTCTGACGATAAATCTGCTATTAATAACTCAGTGCAGGCCCATCACAGTACTTCCGACAGTCTATTTGAACTATTTGACTGAGTCAAACCTACTTACAGCAAAACAGTTTGGCTTACGCTTTTAACTATTAACCGAGGTCGCCCTTGCTCATGTTTGGCACAGAGTTCTTGAGAAACTTGATAATGGAATGAATACAGTGCGCAATACATTGACACTGCAAGCTCGGACGAGTCATCTTCGCATCACAAACTAGCTACAATAGCAGGCTTCATGATTTCGGTTTCCATAGCAGAGGGTCCTATTTTGCGTATTTTCACTAGAAAAATGTGCCTGACCATCGAGTCTCGACCAGGATGGAATCACACCTTTCGTTACCCTGCAGCACTTTTGGAAGAGCTGAAATTCTGGTACTCGAACATCGATTAATTTAATGGTTACTCTCTTCGACTTCCGCCAGTTACGTCTACTGTCATCTTCTCATCTTCGTGAGCTAAAAGCTATCTACTATGAGTTACTGTACTTCGCGGACCACCTTACACACAAGACAGTAACGTTTTCACCAATAGATCAGCAACCTCCTGCTAAAAGGGCTAGGACAGAGGCAAATTTATAAATTCCGCGCGTCAGCCTTTCGCAGCCGCCCAAATTTAGAATGTTAACTTTACGCTTACATTAATGGCGTGTTTTCTGTTCTATATCCACGTGGCATGTAAGTGAGCCTTAATTGGCGTGCATATATACCTATATACATATGTACATACAAACTTTTCATGCAATTTTGAGATGTCATCGCCCTTACAATGATTCTGAAAGTACCCATTTACATAACAACTTTGAGTTATCATTGTGAGTAACAAAAGTTTCTGTACCATTGCTGTTGTTTAAAAATTTTGACATGTGTTGCAATAATCTGAGTAAAGTGACAGTAACAATAAGGAAGTGTAAAAATGAAATTGTTTTGCCTGAGTCCTGGATGTTAAACAAGGCTCTTGGCACCTAGCAAGTCTCAGATTACCTTACTCCACCCCCTCCCCCACCTCTCATTTTGTCACATCCTCCCTATACAGTTAAATGGTATTCATTAGTACTTCTGGGTGGAGAGAAGCACTGTGAGGGTACATTACCTTGATTATGCAAGAACAGAGCCCTAAAACCCGGCCAGGGCTAAAACCTGGACTTTTTTTAATCCACATTCCAGTTCAAAAACTGTTACGCCCTTCATCCCCCACTTACAACTTGCAAAGTAATTTCAAAATATATATTTCTAAATTATTACAACAAAATTACCAAGAACAACAACTGTAAAGTTAACAGTAAACACGAACCTTAACATTATTCTGTGGTTGCTATTTGTTAGCTTGGTCTTTCAAGTACAAAGGATTGAACCATTCAAAAAGGGAGTGGTATAATGCAAATTTCAGAAAAAATGGACTCGAAGCAAGATAAAACAATAAATTGACTGGTTTGCATCATCATTCCTGACTACAGAGGTAACTTGCCTAAGCGTTAAGTATCAATATCCGAGGAAACCTCATACAAAATGTTATCCCATCCACTTATCTGTTTACATCTTTGGATTAACAAGTTCCCAAAATCCCATATTTTTGCAGGGGAACTATACATCTCATCAAATTACGTCAATTTAATCATCATCATCATCATCACATTTTAAAGTAGAAGTCATGAAAACGAGAGCTCGAATATGTGGGGTTTTTGTAATCTTACATTTTATCTGAATGAAAAGCAATTATTCCTTTCGGAGATATTCAAAATTTTGTTCTTTATCCTCCAAAATTAGAAGTCAACGAGTCCATCGATAAAAGTGAAACTGACCTCGCTAATCTTTCGTGACTGTCCTCCGGGACACGTATGGGTGTACTCCATGTTTCACCTTGCAATCCCAAGCTTTAAACAAGCAAACATTCTCAAAACAGCCCCAACTGTCTGAGAAATCCTACAAATTGTCAAAGCCAACCAATAACGCAGCTGGCTTGACGCTATTAGTATCAAATGAGGTAGTAGACTTCCTCTTTCACTGCGTGATGGCAAGGGAGTGAGGGGGGGGGGGGGGGTATTAAGTCCTAGCTGAATAAGGGCTTGTTTTATGTACAATCCATTACCCCTGAGCAGTCTATTCAAGTCTCGCATTTCCAGAGTAACATTTTACAGAGAAAGTTGTGATGATAACAATTTTGCATATAATTGTTCCCTTACCTAGACAGGACACCTGATTACAACGCAGGAAACAGTTGCCGTTTCACAATCACTTATGGTCCCGCGCATGGCGTTTTCTGACATCTCCGTCACGCAAATTAAAACGGTTCGCAAGGCGTAGATATTACTGGACCGACTTCTAAGTTTACAGTTTTATTTTCTGGCTCAAAAGAAATTATTTCCGAAATATTTTTGTGTCAAGCGTGATTGTCTAATCGAATAACCTTTCAAGTGTTATTTGCAATCAGTTTCCTTCAGTGGTACTCTTCCTGGTTACGGACTATTAAAGGAAAGGAATATAAAAGTGACTGCTTCTCTCCTTTTTTTCCCTCCGATTTTACCGACATTGTAAGTCTTGTGTGGTGCAAAGGTGGTGCATGTTCATGCTAGAAGAATAAACACAAATTCGAATAGGATTACATTTGCGATATCCCCGTCAAGATTAATGTGCGTGTAAAATTAGTTTCTTACTGCTTTGTTCACCTTATCTTACGATTTCTCTTACGGCCCACCTCATTGTACTCAGCAAACACCTTGGGTGGTCTCCATTTGACCGCGGTGCCTGGTTTGAGTCGGATCCAGCACGTGGCATCCATCGGAGCACAGAACGCCTGGAACATTTACACGTACTGGTTCATATTTTAAATATGTGAAGCCATTTAGCCCTGGTTAATGAAATTGTAGCGAAAGATTATGAGCGGTCGTGGAAGGGGCAGAGGAGCACTTGCAAGATGGGAAGCTGCTAAAACTATAAGAGAAAGTAGCACGCGTGTTGGGTCGTCGGTTTTGTCTCTTTCTCGAGAACATGAATCCAAACCAAAGGTCAAACAGTCTCCTGGCGACTCTGTCAACAATCATACGCTTGCAAGAGTCACTCATATCATCGATGTGGAGCACTTTTGGGCCCAGACAGGTAAGACTGAAATGATAAAGAGCATATTTTCAGATAACAATGCAATACAAAAAACCCGTAAGCGATCGAAAAACTGTTATCAACATTTGACGACTCTCGTTCTCTGTACGTCTCTATTTAAAATTAGTAATTGCCTCTTTGTTTTGAAATCTGTGGTTAGTTAAATTTAATTCATGTCTAATTACAACTGTCCATTACATTTTCAAGAGCCAGATATAATATTTCTGGCTCTAACGTACTCTACAGTAGTCTAGAGGCCAGCATTGACTTGTGGACTTGTTTACACAGCTTTACTAGAAACTCTTGACCCCTAGCCAATTCTTGCCAGCGTGTGAAGCTTCTTTCAAACAATGTAGTTGCCGCTGGTAGTTGTTTCTTGTATGAGAGAACTAACCATCAGCAAGAAAAGTGGGCTGCAAAAAGGTTTTTCATTCTGTTAAGGAAAAGGAAGCAAAGTGCAAATTGAATAATGATTTTCTTTTGATGGAAGTTTTTCTCTGAAGTATGTCTTTAATATTGAGTACTTCAAGCCCCCCCCCCCCCAAAAAAAAAAAAAAGACAGTGTTATGATAGATTAATGTCATAGAGTGCTCTGTTAATATATAATAGGTATTCCATAGATACTCATAAAAAAAACTTTTGAATTACTTAACACCAATGAACCTTAGTATGACATGCTCAAAACATACCCCAACAAGAAAATTAAAGTTCAGTTCTTTCTCTATTCAAACCTTATTAATCCATCTTCTTTACTCTGGTCAAGTTTCATGGTTGACCTTCTAACCCCAAAGAGTGACAGCCATTTAATTTCTCCTGACAGTGTCACCTCTGAAATAAACATTAATGTCAAGAGAATAAAAGAAATGATTGCTAACTGAAGAAACTCTTGATCGTTTGACAAATTCTCCTCGTTAATACCACGAGAAATGTGTAGCGGAAAGTGTGGAGAATATGCATACTGATCTAAGGGTGCGTTGCGTTAAGTAGATGTCCCTGCAAGAGGTTTGATAAGTGATCCAGGAGAACTGATCAAAGTGGATGATTTATATATTAAACAGGTCACAGTGCTTTTGACTTTCCTTATGCATGTGAGGAAAACATGTACAGTGTAACTAATTTCATTTCCACGAGAAGATGTACACTACATGTATTTGCATAAGCATTATGGTGTGTCCATTATTCATTTTAGGTTTTTTGGATAATTGATTTACATGCTTTACCATTCAATCGTGAAGGTTTGGTTTTGGTAGGAAGTTTGGAGAACATGCTGGTGCAATTGAATTTCATGACACAGATTTACTAGCTAATTTTATTTAACATTTCTCTAACCTTTTTAACTCCCTAAAGTGATTAACATGAAACTTCTCCTTTTATATCCATGCAATATCCAGCAACTTGATCTAACACCAAATTCTTGACACTTATTTACAAAGAAATGTATAGCAGCTGGAGGGGAGAATTGATTTTCAGATCTTAGGAGTTAAAGGGTTAAATGTGTCTGGGAATATTTGAGATGTTTTGTTTTGAATTTTAACATTTTTATATACCAGGTACTTCTGATGAGCTAAAACAGTTTGACACATACATGACTGCATTAAATTCATGGTGTAATGAACAACAAAGATCAAGTGTTGAGAAAATACCCACATGTGGTCAGGCAGTGTGTGTATTTCATTCAAGCACCAGCCAGTGGAGAAGAGGTCAGGTTACTAGGCCTATTAGCAACAGGTTTGTTGAGTCATTCTTAAAATATTAAGAACTATGGCTTACTGTATGATATAATTTTAGTATCATTAAAATTTTAATAATATATTGACAACTGAAATTTTTTTGGTTACCATTACTGACATTCCATCTAGGGTTGTAATCTTGGGAGGGGGAGGGGGTATCTTTTTAGCAATACTTCCTACACCCTCTAAATCCCAGACTTGATTAATATGTAACTTCTCCCTCTATTATCTTTTCATTATCTAGCAAACAGGTAATGAGAATACTCAAACTTATCAGATAGAAGTTGTTTTCTTGATGTAAAACCAAATTCTCACAGCCATAATTTACATGGAAATGTGTTGCAGCTAGAGGAGAGAATTAACAATTAAGTCTTGGGAGTTCAAAGGTTAGGCTAGTTTTGATGTGAAATTTAGGATGAACCCCAAAAGTCTGTGGCATCTGTGGCTAAGTTTACTCATACCACAATTGGACATGCATTCATTTTGTAAGAGAGCAGCAATTCTCCTCACTATCGGCTGCACAATTTCTATGATTAAGTTTGGAGAATTTGGTATTGGATCAACTATGCATACCCTAATTGATTTTTTTGTTTATTTTCATTACTTGTCTGCTTGACATTGTATTGATATTGTAAGGAGAAATTTTGTCTTGATCACTGACAGGAGTAAAGGGTGAAAGGTACAGTGTATCTGTAATGTTTTTTATAAAAGCTAGTTGTAAGTGTTAAATCTGCTTTTGTACTATTACCCAGGAATTGTTTTCGTTTTTGGTTTTTTTTTGACAGCATGTTAGATGTATTTTACTTGGATTATGGACAGTCAGAATGTGTACCATTGGATAGAGTTTGTCATCCCTCTCCCAGTGATATAATGTCTCGCCCAGTTCTAGCACAGTATATAACACTGGATGGTGTGAAACCTGTAAGTAACCTAAACTATCAATCAGAATAATAGGATCTCATTTTATGTTTAGCTGCATTTTGGTTTCAATTGAGAGATGTGCTGTTTTCACGCTTGCATTATTTTATAGTCACAGAGATCAATCTTACTTTTACAAGCTTGCATATTTCTTTGCTAGATTTTCATCTGCTGGTCAAATGAAATTTATTTCATATAAGTTGTTATCAAATTCCTCTATGAGAAAAAAAAAACCCTCTAAAATTTGCCTTACTCCCAACATGTGGCTTCATTGCTCAGTTGGTACTGTAGGACCCAACAAGGAGGAACAGGTTCAATTGCTGTTTCTCTACTACAACTGCTAAAAATTGCATCCACTGGTGGGGATCATTTCTTTTTCTAGGTTTTTATAGTAGCTTAATAAGCTTTTCCTTTATTTTAGACTGGCTGTCTAACTGGTTTTATATGTTTACAAAATTTGATTTTTTTTTGAGAAGAAGAAGGGTTTTTAAAATTTTACTTAATTAAAAAGATCTGCAATAATTATTTATAGTTTTGTACCTAGCTTAACTTCAATTTATGATGAACAGTGGTAAAAATGTTAAAAGTAAGAATTAAGTTATTTCATGTAGAAATAAATGAATAAAACATTATTCACTAAATCTTCATTTAATTTCTACAGATTAGTGGAAGCTGGTCAGAAGAGGCTAATAAAAGATTCAGTGAACTTGTTTCAAGCAGACTTAAAATCCATTTTATTGACAATTTTAGAGGGAAACTTTATCTGCGGTTAGTTTACAATTATTTAGAAATAAAAGCCATGCATTATCTTCTCAACCTTTGAGTCCTTAACCCCTAAACTCCCAGAAGTCATTAACATGTAACTTCTCCCTATAATATCTCTACATTATCCAGCAAACAGGTAATAAGAATACCCAAACTTATCAGGTAGAAGTTGTTTTCTTGATCTAAAACCAAATTCTCGCAACTTAATTACAAGGAAATGTGAAAATCGACAATCAGTTCTTGGGAGTTAAAGGGTTAAGACTGACCAGTATCTAATTTCCTCTAACACTATCACTTCTGGAGGAAACATTAAGGTCTTCAGGATAAAGGTCCAAATGATCACCAACTGAAAAAGCTTATGATTGTAAAACAAATTCTCTCTGTCAGTTTCATTGGAAATGTCCAGAGAACAGTGTAGAGAATATGTATACTGATCTTAGGGTGTAGAGCGTTAAAGAGCTCAGGCTACAGATCAGAGGTAACTAACTGTAGGTGAAAGGAATAATGAACAAATGGTGCCTCTTGTTTGTTCTCAATTTTTAGAATGGAATGGCTATCACCTGGGAAGTGACTACATCATGGATAATATAAAAATATGTCATGATTATGACTATAATAATGTTATATTTCATGTGTAGCACTACCACATCCTTGGACAAAACTATTCAGAGGGAAAATCACATTTCAGTTGAAAGATATGCCTCTCTCACCCTCTTATTTTATCTCTTTATTTTTGTCATTGAAGATTTAAATTATCTTTTGTTATCATGGTAGAAATAGAGATGGGGAAGAAACTTCAGTAGGTGACGTGCTTATCTCTGAAGGCCTTGCTAAGGTATAGTGCAAATCTTTGTTCATGTTATACATAGCTTGTCAGTATGACAAAATCAGGATTCTCACTCCCAGGAATGATCATTTGATGAAGTCTTCTAATGATTTTGATACAGTGTTAAGGTACATTAAAACATTTCAATCAAGGGGTTATCAGTTGATCCATTACCAAACTGTCTGAACTAACATCATAAAAATTGTATTGCAGACAGTAAGAAAAATTATTAATGAGTGTAAGGGATATTAAGCTCTGGCCCCTTGTGAGCCATTTGGCTCAAGTGCAGACTTAGTGAACACCCATTAAAATATATGGAATGAAACACTTGGTCTAATGGATGATATGTTACATTGCATTTAGAGTCCTGATGATGTTGTTAATAAAGGGATATGGAACAGAGAAGTTGGTAGTGGTCATCAGAAAGACAGTTCTGTCAGGTATGTATCAGGCATGAATCAATGAATGTTAATATTTCTCACCTTCATCAAATATTGTGTTCTTAAAATGATTTTCATCTGGTGTGAAAGCTTTTTTGGAACCTAGGTTATGTTTTTCAATACATTTTAATTATTGCATGGATGGCTTTTTTGAAAGCCAACCTAAAATTCTTTGCACTGGAGTGCAAGAGAGTATTAGTGAATTACTACAAAAAGTTGACAAGATGTGGAAGGAAACCTGTGTTGACTAACATCCAATCAGGGCATAGTAGTACACGTAAAGACAATTTCGTTGGTTCTAGATTTCTGTAATTCACAATTTGATATATGTATACTTGTAGAGTGTAGATTCTCTCTAGGGGAATGATAATTTTTGTGTTATGTAAAAATCTAATTGTGTTTAGGGAATGATCAGCTAGTGATTTCTCTTACAAAATCAATACTTTGTCAGGGTTCATCCTTATTTTAAAAGCAAAACAGGTAAACACAATTTTTAAACAGGTAGAGCAATCCTTTTACCCATTAAATTTTCAAGAATTTGAAGCAATTTCAGGGAGTAATAAGAGGTACTGCAAGCAGTAAATTTTAACAGTTACAGCCTGAAAAAGAGAGCACTGCATGGTGTTCAAGATAGGTGATAAGAACAAACGAATACCATTATTTTGCTTATTGTTTGATTTAACCCCTTACACCTTAACATCAGTTAACACAATTCTCCATACTGTTCTCTATAAATTTCTTAAGGTGCTGACAGGGAGAATTTGTTTTACAATCAAAAGCATCTTTAGTTGGTGATCATTTCCATAAAGTTTATTCTCTTTACCTTACTGTGTGATTCAGGGGTGACATTGTAAGGAGAAATTAGATGCCAGTCACTCATAGGGGTCAAAGGATTAACATTAATTTCTTAGGGCTATATTACAAGGGGGGAGTTCTTCGGAGTGAATGGTTAAACAATGGTTCTTGCAAACCTTGCAATAAACCGAAATTAATCTGGGATTTATTTTAGCATAATGGGGATTTACCAACATCTGAAAGTTACTATTCTGCTCGTTCAAACCTAAAATTGTATTTCTTATTTTCCATCTAAATTTATAGTGCATTGAGTTCTGACCAGCAGAAAAGATTAGATGAACAGTGGAACCCGCTAACATTCCATCCAGCAGAATCACGGCAACTATTGTGGCAGAAAAGCAACAGCTTCATTACCATAAAAGATCCATCAACCAAATTACCCATTTCTTTAAAAGACCAATCTTCACAGAGAGAGCTATTTAATTTAAACCATAGTGCATTTAGTCCACCACAAGTATATGGTAGTAAATCACAGAGAGATACATATTCAAGTGCAATTTCCTTGAATGATGTTCCTCTTCCACCAAAGCCAGACTTTGAAATGCAGAACAAGGAAAAGAACATTCTTGAAACATTTAATGTCAAAAGAACTGATCCAGGACCAGTGGAATCACTGCGCTCAGCGAGGCCTTACCTGGCCAGCCCAAGTGCATTTCTCACTCAGTCACAGACAGGACACAGTTCAAGTATGTTAAAATTTGTGTTTGATTGTTTATACCATGCCAGAGAAATACACCCAAACAGAAAACAGGAAAGGTGCTGTTTTTGTGATCCACCCAACCTTTAACCATGAGGCACTCCAAGCTTCTTCTCTCCAAATTGGAATAATTTTAAGTTTCTTTCAAGAATTTAAATGTAGTAGCTGTACCAGCAATGCATTCTTTTTTATCATGAATTTTAGGTTTTTAAAACATTTTCAAGGAATGTTTTAATTGCTTTCAAAATGAAATCTGCATGAATGTCTTCTTGACTGTTTTGGCCATCATGTTTTCTCTTGCATGGTATGGAATAAGTGTGCTACTCTTTCTTGTTGTATACCATCAAATATTCTACCCTGTACTTGTCACTTCATTTTTTGTGGAATATGCTCATAACTTGTGGGATATTTCATTTGAAAATGTTGCATAACTGGTTTTTATGCCAAGGTTAGTAACAGGTTACACTTTAGGGTGACATTACTAATATTGTCATGTCAGAATGGGAACCAAATTTTGTTATAGGAGAGCTGGATGGTGAAATGTGGAAGTCTTGGAGTGTATCTACATGAGTTACACTTCTGTAGATATACTTCTTGGTTTGAGCATTTTCATTTGTCATCATTATTTCTTTTTTTTTAACTATAATCTTCCCTTTTCTTTACCATATTTATTTTTTTTGAGTTATAATTACCTTGTGGGTGTATTTTGTAAGCATTTTAGGGCTGTTACTCGATGACATGTGTTTGAGTACTTTTTAAAGTAATAAATTAAACTTAGAAAAATTTAATCAAAATTTGTAGTGGATCTTGTGACTGTATTTTATGCAGCACTCATTGAAGACTTATTTCTTAATGAATAGTCAATAATTTTAAATTGTTTATTTGTTTAGTTTAAATTTAGTTGTGACGATGTAGTCTGAATTGTGTCCCAAACCAATAATTTTAAAGACTGGTTTAATGTACATTGACCAAGTATGTAGCTAAATGAATTGCTATAGCTAGATACCTTAGAAGTGACCATTAAACACTTGGACCAAGTATTCAATGAAGTGGAGGTTAATATCCACTAATTTCACTGACACTGATGTGAGTTATTGTTTTAGTATATACCTCACTGAAATAAAAAAAAAATAGTTCATTTCTGTCAATATACTCATAAATGGTCACATTTTTAACTTTGGATGTGTAATTTTGTCTCTAAAGCTACTTGGAGGTGAATATTACTGTACCTGTTATTCAGGTAACCAGTCAACTCGCCGACAAACCAACTTGCCGACGCCAACTCGCCGACATATAAAATCGAGTAGAGACGTTGGCGAGTTGGTCCTCAATCCAATACAACTTATTAGAAGTTAAACATACAAAAAAGTAAAAGTAAGCTTAAACATCGGTGAACATTGGTGAACATAAACAATGACTATAACAGCTTTTAAAAGAGAACGAGATAACTCGTTCGCGTTTGAAGCTGTTAGTCATTGGTGATGTTTACTTCACTTTATTCGCCTTAAGATCCTTATAAACTTTGTTGCAAATAAAAAGAAATGCTTTTTACTAAAGATCTTGTCTAGAAAGCCAAGTTTTCGTTAAAAAATCTGAGCGATTGACTTGATGAGTCTTTATGGTGTTGTTGTCGCACAATAACTCGTTCGCGTCTTAAGCTGTTATAGTCAATGTTCACCGATGTTTTTTTTACTAAATATCATTTACTTTTCTGTATGTTTAACTTCTAATAAGTTGTATTGGATTGAGGACCAACTCACCAACGTCTCTACTCGATTTTTTACATCTGCGAGTTGGCGTCGGCGAGTTGGTCCGTCGGCGAGTTGACCGTAATTCGTTATTCACTTCTGAACTAGTCAATCAGCAGGTGTAAAAAGTACTATTCACATGTGTAGCATATAGCAAAATGAACTATGTATTTCGCAAGTGTTTTTTAATGCATGATTTAAGTATTTTCACACCTTTATGACTCTTTATTTGGTTTTCAGCCAACTCAGTATTACCAAGCAATGAATCACCTCTAAAGTACCAACCACCTCATCTGCGATTTTCACAACCAAAGATGAATGAAGCAAATGCACCAAGCACAGAACCCAAGCTAGAGAATTTCACTTCCCTCACACAAAGCAGGAACAGTTCTTTTCAGTCAGTTCAGAGGTTGCCACAGTCACCTTTCTCAAACTTTTCTTTCAGTCCAAAACAAGGGAGAAGTAATATTGCTGCTCAGTTTCAAACAAACAATTCCACAAATGTAGGTGACAATTCAGCAATAACACAACCATTGCAACAACAAACTTTTCAACCATGGCAACAGTCTGAGTGTCTCAAAACACAGCCATTGAATGAAAATGCTAGGGACGAAGAATTGAAAGCAGAGTTAAAGTGGAAAATATGGAAGTTTCAACGGAATGTAAAGAAACTTATTGACCATATGGCAGTGGGTGATAATGGAGATTATCTACAAGAGCTTGAAAAGTTAATAGCTAATACCAGAATATCTCAGGAGTTTCCAGGAGTTTCTGAAGTGTCTGTTACTGTAAAACTATTACTTGAGAAGGTTATCAATAATGTCAAGTTTGAAAATGTGGCAGTTAAAGTGTGCACACTATTTAGAGGTATTTTTCTCAGTATTTGTTATATTTATGCTGAAGTTGAGAAAGAAATTTTTTAAAAAACTTTTTCTCATGTCTTGTACTTTTCACTATGAATTGTGTCCGCAACAATTCTTGATTAGAGAGTTCGCATCCAATTTGTTGTATGTTTTGTATTTTTAGACATGCATATACCTGATGCTGGTGATCTTATCAATAAAGAGGTGATGACTTGTCAAAAACAGCTGATGGATGTAAGTAATAAGTGATGTATGCATATTGTGGAATTTCCAGAGTTTCTCTCTAAACATTACCAAAAGATTGTCTTGCATTAACTATGTGCTGTCTCTACCAATCCTGGTGATTGTTGCTTGTAATGTGATATCTAGAGAAATATGTTTTTTGTCTTGTCACAAGCATGGGACAAAGGAAAAATTCTGATTCCCCACAAGGAATCAAACCTCACACCTTTGGATTCCACAGTCCAATGCTCTATGACTAAGTCACAGAGACTCTATGGTGAGCAAGTCCCAATACAAAGTTCATATATGACACGCATCCTGCATACTGCTAAGATCAGCAATGTTGATAGTGTCATGTTTTGCAAATAGAATAAGAAAGACAGTAAGTTTTAAGTATGATATCTACTTTTGCTTTAATTTAGCAATCAGCCTTAAGTGATATCTGCCAAAGGTGTCAACGATTTTCATCATTTCTTGGGAAACTTTATCTGGAGGTTTTAAATGAAAATGACTCTAATGGGTAAGTACATTAATTAACAAATAAAGGAGCCTTGTCCATGTTCTGTTCTGTTGTAAAGCATGCAGGAAATGGCTAGAGTACAAAAGAAGTAAAGGAGAAACAGAAGATGTTTTCCCTACTTCTGTGCATTTGTACTCCAAGTATGTTGTTCCAGCTAATCAGGA